TATCATTATAGTCAGATGGTATGTGCACAGACATCATGCTGTGTCAATACTTAATGGAGCAAACTGATGACTAAAGCAACATACTAGAAAACGCAGAAATATATTCCCAAAAAGACATTTTTTGACATTCAGAGTTTCAATGCTGTGCAAATAAGAGAGAATGAGGAGGGTTGCAGAAGAAGGTCTTGGAAAATGTAAAGAAGGTAAGCTGAGCAGAAATTTAAATACAATGTCAATTCTACAGTTTTTAATGTGATATGCCAATGTGCTGTATCTGTCATAGGCAGGGGTGTCACATGACTTGGCCTCGAGTCAGACGTGAGTCACAAATTGAATGACTTTAAACTTGACGAAATAAAAAAAGACTTGCACCTTGACTTGGACTTTTAACACCAATGACTCGTGATTTCACTTGGACCAATCACAAAGATTAAGAAAGGGGTGATTTGTACTTGACTTGGGACTTGAGTGCAAAGACTCAAGACAATGACTTTCCCCCTGTCCACCAACTCTGATAATAAGCTAATTCTGGCATCTACAAATACCTCAAACTTGTACTTCAGCGCAGTACTTGACTATAGTTTACAGATTGAACAGATTAATTGGCACAGATGAAAAAAAAAATCCCTTGGCGGTTTCCCTAATTAGCGCCGTTAGCTTTGAGTGGCACTGTGTCGGGACGCGCTGCAGAGGGAGCGGAGGATGGCAGACGGCAGCGCACATAGCTAAGTAAACTCTCCGGTCTAATAACGGGAGCCTTCTGCCCAGAGGTTAAACAGATCCGCTAATCGCTCTCTTTGTTTGCTTTGGGTTTTGCATTCATCTGAGCGGCACCCGGAGAGCGATGGACGTCTGTGTGTTTGCATCTCTGCGGTTTCCCTCAGCCTTCAAACATTTGGCTAAATATGCAGATGAAGGAACATCCCGCCCACTGAAAATGAGAGCGATGTCCACATCAGTCAAGATACAGATTGAATAAACACTGGCACTTGTCCATGCATGTTTACTGACTCGTTATTTGGCTTTCTTGATCGATCAGAGCAGGCAGTTAAAATGAAAAACATTTACCAGCAGACCACGCATGTAGATCCCTCATGTATATTGGAAGTCCCGATATTCTAGGGAGATGCAGACTCAGTGGAAGATTGATGCATCGGCCTGTAAATAGGCTGACAGCCAGCCTTTCAGACAGTTACATAATCAAGCCTTTTCATCCAGACACATGCCCCCGTGCTGGGATGTTGGATGAGAGCAGATAATGAAGAGACAGTGTAGATGTCCAATGAGATCTATGACCAGGGTCAGACTTGGAGAAGCAAACCCTCCCTCCTCCCCAGCATAATGCTGATATTGCAATAAAGCAGCAGCCCACACTTGAAGGGAGGCCCTGGCAGTTGCAGTCAGGAGACACCAAGTACTAGGAAATTGCATTACGGCCATTCCCATCGGAGTATTTAAAAATGGAAACACTGAAAGGCTTGTTTTTATTGCTTGTGCTTTCGACTAGGTCATTCCAAAGAGCTTCCGACAGTTCATAGCGGTGTGAACAAGTTTTCTTTGTTCGGCATTCTTGGGGGGGGGGATCTCGTGGAGATGCAGAAGTCATCAGACATATAACAGCAGTTTTACAGAGGAGTATTCTGAGGTGAAGTTGTGATAAGTGAAAGTGTGATACTGCATTCAACTGCATTGCTGTTAGCCACAGTAAACTATATTCATAATGAGAGTAAGACAATTTGAAAAACCTTGAAATAGATTGGACTGCAGCCGCTGATAGCATCATGCGCAACAGCTTCCTTCCCCGTCTTAGATCTTATCCACAAAAGATATTCTGCAGAGCAAACATGCCCATAAAGTTTTGCTTCTGACTGCAATTATCCATGTGGAAAGTTTAAATGTGCACGAGGCCAATGTCAGTTGCGAGGGGTGGAGTGAGCATGAGAGAAGCCGGTTGGGACCAGACACGCTGAGGCGATTCGGGCAGGACCATTTTGTTTTTTATAGGCCGGGCTCGGATTGGTCTCAGGCTCATTTAACTTCCCTCCTTTCACTGTGCCAAAAAACGCCTCCGTAAATACATGCAAATAGCACAGGAGCCCCAAGGTGCTATTTACTTAGCAGAGCAGTCGGGGTGCATTTCACCATTTGCGGGTGTTTTTGAGAATTACATGGATTCCTTCATTTGCGCAGGTTGACCTTTTTTGAACTTACCCCTGAATGTAAACATGACTTTGTTTTCAAGAAAACTGCACAGGGCACCTTCAAACGGAAGCATGTTTTATGGTGCGTTTGCCCTAATTGAGAGGTTTGGCAGCCTGTCGTAGTGAGCTACGGTGGTTGCTAGTTGCTCATCCAAACTCTGCTCCATCTTGTTGCCAAAATGTTTGATTAACCGTCTCCGGTAACAGACAAAATGAGCATACAAGCAGCCTGTGTCCATTTGGAAGCACAGTGGTAATTTTCACAGATGCTATGTCGTTATTACTCACCGATGCTGATGCACAATCAATTTAAAAGATCTAGCACTCAGTGCGTTTCACACCATTCAACCCCCTCAGGTTGCCAATTTAACTGAAATTGACAGTCAGCTATCAAAAACAGAGACAAGCTGCCATCAAAAAAACACATTTATGAGCACTGTTATCAATAAGAGATTAAGCTCCAAGCCATTATATCACTAATCCGGCTGAATACTGCATAAATCTGGGAGATAAGATCAGGCAGACCATCCTGGTGTGTACTAACACATATCCACAAAATGTGTTTTAGTAGCGTAATGAGATGTAAATGTGATTTAGTTGGCAGCCCAGCCAAGCTCTATGGCAACTAATGTGATATGTATCGTGAAGGTATCGGATTACAGGTGTGAAAACAGAGGTGTAAAGAACAAAATCTGACTGCACACAATAATTGGGTGATCTCAACAACAACATGATAACTTTGATATTTGTTTATTTTTCAAAAAAAAAGACAGTAAAATAGCTCAAACAGTAAGGCTTCAGGAGCAAACGTTTAGTGCTCCTCAGTGATGACAGCCTGCTGCTCAGCTCGGTCACTATATTCAATAAGAGTTCCCCCTCCCCAGAGGTTGAGGTCATTCTTGGGAGATTAAGGTGATAGAGTGTGGATAAAGACAGCCTCGCTGGTCCAGGGAGGACACTGTTCTTTATAACCTTGGACGTCTCACACACATATACTGTAAGTCCACTGCTTGGAGCAGCAAAGAAACTCATCTTTGGTCATGCCACTCTACTGCCAAACAGTATGCAGTATAAGTCGTCTATAAATGTTAAGCTTTAGCGCACATTTATTCAGATTTGCTCATGGGGGGAATTAACCGCCTGTGGGCGAGGGAGATTGCAATCCGCGTCCAAGGCTGCCTATTCGATATTTTAAACCCTTATCATCATCTGACAATTTTATGAATACATTTCATCATCTTATAATTCGGCAGAATTGCTGGGAGCCTTCGAATCCTCTTCCGACATGATTAGTGAACATTGAAGTACACTTGTGTGTATGCGATGTCTGATCAGACAAAGCTTTTTCCCATTAGCATAATAAATGAATTAGAGCACCAGAGACGAAGATCATTGGGCAGATTTTCACCGCGGGGAAATCATTTGGACAATGTATTGACGAACAATGTGAGACCACTGCGATGCGTCGCGCGGTCTCAACATGTTCCAGCCTACGGCCTTTTCCCCAAATCCTTCCCTCACTAAAGCCCTGCTAGTGTTTGCATTCTGCCCAAACAACCCTCACTTCTTTCAAGGCAGCTGCTTCGCTTCAAACACGGGGGCGCTGCGATTTCTCCGCTGTCTTGTGTTCTGTGATTAGTCATAACAGTGAATGGCAGTGCTGCAGACGGTAGCGGCTAATGTGTCCATGCAGTGACACGCCATAAACACAAGTTGTTATCATCGCACTACATCTCTCCACCAGCACAGCCTGGCTTAGTGTACTAAACACTGTGGCCTCGGGGCTTATCCCTTTATCAGCCGCTGCTGTCTTTCCCTCAACTTCTTCAGCTCAAGATTCTTCTCTGCCTGCAGTTCAAAAGCAGGTGTGACATTGCTTCGCTCCTGCTCGTCATATGCTAAAGACATAAACAGCGGCGTGTTGAGAGTTGTTTTATTATTAGGGTGCAAGGTTAAGAGATTTCTAAACTGCTGGGGCTTCTGCAAGGTGCTCTGGTTGGTTGAAATATGCATTTAAACCTGAGGTTTGCCTGCTAGCGTCTCATCTGTAAATACGACCGAGTGCTGCAGCACTCTGGGATAATAGTCTCAGAGGGCTGTGGCTACCATACAGGGTACGCACATATACGCAGTGAACTTCTGTCACAGTCGTTTGCATTAGAGGTGGCCAAGATGTGTACATTATGTATATTGGGAGTTACAGGTCCGTAGAGGTTGAGGACTGTAATTTACATAGGACATCACCAGGGATGACCAGTGGAGGATCACTTATGAAACGCATTGGGATTGGATGATTGTGTTTCACGCTGTGCTGCATACATCCAACGACAACATTCGGTGATCATACAGGAAATGATGTGCTCTTAAAAAGACATTAAGTTCTAATCCTGTGGTTTTGTCATTTCTTCATTTATCTCATTACATGACTGAAGCGAAAGATGCTCCAACTTCTGCTTTACTGTGACTCGTATCAACAATATGAGTGTGACTTTTCATTGCATTCAATTGTCATTCATGGCACATTCCAACAAGAAATGTGTTTTCAAGCTCAGAAAAACATCACAGTCATTCCCTAACCTTAAAAAGGAACGCTTTGACATTCAGGTGAATTATGCTTTTGTGCTGTTGAGAGACTTATGCTTAGCTTATTTTAAAAGACTGCTAAACCTCATGTACAACTTGTTCTTTGTATGGATGAATGTCAGAGATGTAGTGAATTGAATATCCAAAAGTGTTTTGGGGATGACTTCAAGGCCGCACATTGCTCATCCTCGTTTACTTTTTCTCTTTTTTTAACAGTGGCCATGGCTATTAACCATGAAGCTGGAGCCGGACACGCCCATCGCTTCCTTCCGTCAAAAAGAGCCTCTCTGGTGCTGCATTGAACACGCACTCTCTCCGAGCATGCCATCCAAGTGTGAGAAAGCCCAACGGACTGCTTAACGCCTGCTGTAAGTGCTTACACATTCTTGACACAGGAGTGATAGCTATTGTGTGTTTACTCATGACACACCCAAAAAGAGTAAACCCCCCCCCCCCCCTCCCCTCCCCCCAGCTCAGATTTACGGATGACTCATTTCCAATTCTGTTCAAATATTGTCGTGAGCAGTCACTGCACACGTGGTTCACACATTTACATACAATAGTTACGTCTGTCCTGACATTTGATTTGACCTGCTGTCAGTCAGTGCTCGCAATTAATTGCAATTCACCTATGACTTGTTGGCAGTCTGAAATGTATGTACACACAAATGACATACTAACATAATGCACACGTCTGCTAAAGCAGAATCACTTCACCAAACCTGGCCGGTAGCATGAATACATCATGTATTCATAATCTAAATGTATTCATCATTCATGTGTAATAATTTAGCCATGTGCATACAGGCAATTTGTTGAATGCGTGGTACACGGCCACAATCTGTCCGATATTGTTTGAAGAGCTACCAGCAATTTTGTACACTGAAAGATGGCTAATGGTTGCGTCCTTGGTCACGGACCATGGAGCGCATCTGAACAAGAGGGGGGGTATAAATTCAAGGCGTGCGGAGGGGGTCAGGGGGCATATGCAACAAAACAGACATAGGCCTATTACTGATGGATCCGTATTGCGTAACGCTACAGCGCACTTACGTCCATCACCCAGACGAGACGCTAGAATGAAGTGACTGAAGGGTTATTAAAAATTGCGAGGGGCCAAAACAACATAAGGGTTAGGGTTCAAAATGAAAGAATACATTTATTCATCAGAGCACACAGAACAATGTAGCACTAGCACTAGCGGAGCGCTACATTTTTTTTGAATTTGTGAACGAACATCTGTCAAAATAAGCAGAGAGAGGCGCATAGAAACATACGATTGCAGCTCCCTCTCTCTTTACAAGCCAAACTAAATTACTTTCTATTGTCTTTATTTTTGCAATGCGTAATCATGCATCCCTGTTAATTTTGCTAATCACGCCGTTTACCAACACTGTTGATAAGGATGCAAGTGATTTGTAGCATTGCCTTTATTTAAAGTATAAAATTAGAGGAAAAAAACACAGAAGTGGGCGGGGCTAAAAGCACAAGGAAAGTTCTGATCTCCTCAGGTAAGTCTTCAATCCATGGTAATGCATACTACATTTACATACAATATTTACATGTACGAGCTGCATAGCTGCATTGTAGGTCTGTCAGTCTCCTGGTCCACCATTTGGTCCACTTATGTTCAGTACTTTGGTTTATGAAAAAAATATTAAACCAATTCATCTCAAAGAACTTACACTGCAATTACAATATAGTCTATTTTAGAGGTGAAAATGATGAATCTTTTTCTGATTCTCATCGTTTAATTCGGCTCAGTTTGTGGCAAGCTACACAGTTGCATCAGAAGTTTCAACGGCCATCAGATCAGGTGTCACACTGTCGTGCCAGACTATCTCTGCAGACAAAAAGGACGACATGTAGCCTATAGCAATGTGCGATCACTTATCAACAACCTCACTGCACTCCGCGGAAGTGTGTGCGGATGTTATCAGCAGACATGTCATCTGCAGGTACACACACACACACACACACACACACACACACACACACACACTGTTTGATGCCGTTCCACCAACAACACTGTCAAGAGCTCTCCCTCTTCATCATAGCGATGCTGTCCAGAACCATATCTCAAATGGAGCTGCGGCTCTCTCATTTCACCGAGATTGTGTGTAGAGGTGCGTGCGTGTGCATTTGTCTGTCCTAACTGCATATCAGAGTCTCCCATTTGCAGTTCATGTCTCCTTGTGTATGTCTAAGTGGCTGCATATTCATCAGTCTACTTTTTTTCATAGTGTGTGATTGCGCTCATAACACTACCAAAGGACTGTCAGGTCAGTTCTGTGTCAAGCCAGCCGAATCCTTGGCACAGATTAACAGGAGAGGGCAAGCGTAGTGGGAACAGTCGCACCAATTAGGAGCCGGCAACCCGGCCACCCAGCCCCGCGCTCACCCTGGCTGGCTCAAGATAACAGAGCCGACACACATGCTCAGACAGATAGGCTCGCCTCATACCCACTCATAACTTGCTAGCTTATACATATGCAACACAGTGCCAAACACCAACCATTAGCTGCAACAGGGGCCTGAGCATGCTGCTAGAAGTGTCAAATATGCATGAGGGAGTGGAGGTCTGTGTCCCATAATCCTCCAGGCAATTAATACCGTCGTTTCCAGGGCCAAGCACCTAGATGCATGCATCAAACCTCTCCCTGGGCTCGTTGAATTGTTTAGATGGACTAATTTACAGGTACGTTGGCTAGAGGCTTGCTTTTATGGATTGGAGCTGTCTGGAAGCCGACGGCAGGCCATACATTGAGGATTGTCCGCAATGATGTATGGGGCTCTGGGGTGAACATATTCACAGTGCAAAACACTGCTGGAAAAGCTGTGTTTTATTGATAACAAGTTCTGTTCTTCTGATTGTATTGACTTGCGATTCGGTGTTTGATATGCTGAGTTAAATTACACTCAGCTCTGCACGTGAGTTGTTGTTTTCAGAGAAATTACTTTATGTTAAGGTCTCATTTAACATTTGCGCCACACAAACATGCTATTTGTAGACGTGGATGTCAGAGAATTATTCCATCTGTTCTTTACACATCCAGCTGTTTTCATTACATCACTGCAGAGTGCGGCGTCGTCTTTAGTATATAGTAAAGCATTTAATTCCGCCTTTCTTTTTTGTTGTTGCTGCTGCAGATGTTTTCAGCCTCCAGTCAGATATTGAGTGAAATGTTCAGCCGAGTGTGAGGAGAAGGGGGGGTGGGGGGACGGGTATTCAGAGGCATTCGGTTGGTGGACAAGCAGTATTGATTGCACTTAAAGTGACAAGATTGAGGAGGCCCCCTTTGACACGTTATCCTTACTGCCGTCAACAGACCAAGTGCGGACCAGAGGAGCAGCACCGATTGATTTTGAATGGCCTGACTCCCATGAATCAGTCGCCCAGGCTGTACTGCTTGAAAATTAGACGACAATTTTTCACAGCGCTGTGGCAATGTAAGGACTGACAGCCTTTTTGATTTAAGAGGACAGATAAATACTATGGTAATGAATAGGCCTCATTCTGGCACATTCTGATAAGCAAAAAAAGTCCTCGCAGCAGTAATAAGCCCACGTATAAAGCACGTAGGATGGTAGTATATCTGAGAAAGCAGGTATTGCAGGCAGCCCTGTTCAGTCAGCTAAGGGATTTTGTTGTGCATAATTCACTGGCAAGGCATGAAGCCGATATAGCCTCTCCCCCTCTTATGATCATCCATCAGGTGAAATTGCTTTCTTCAAACATTAGGCTGTCAATGAAAAATAACAAATGTAGCCATGCAGAGCAACACATGATTACAGGGTGATAATGCCCCGAGGTCAGTGGATCGTGACCTCAGTCAGAGCGGCTTGTTAAAGAAGTCGCATTAGATGAAGAGTCACCAGCGATTGGCTCATCCTCGTCCGAGGTGGCTGCTGTCAGGTGCCCTGCACTTCCGTGTCTGTTATCTTATCATTGTATCAACATTCTTCATATCATTTTTAATGTACCCTTGAGGAACAAAGAGAAAAATGTTCAAAAGCACGAGAGAGCGTGCTTTGAAAACATTTGCATCACCTTGGTTTCTGGTGGGTCTCTTTGACCACTGCTCAACTCTCGCCGATAATTCGGGGCTCTTTCGAGCCCCACGTTCACTCTGATTTGACATTGTGAAAATCAATCACTATAATCTTCCAGCAAATTGCACAGGCGTCTCCAGAGGTCTCATCGAGATATGGGCACGCTCACATTCTGAGCAGGAGTGAGAACGAGAATTAAGATTTAGGTGAAGCAAGACGGATGAGGGAAAGACCTGCACGGCCCAACATGGATATTTTGTGTTTGAGAAATAGGAAAGCACAAAATAAATAAGTAAACAACAGGATAGAGTAATTAAATGGAGGGGGGGGGGGGGAAGAAATAGTTTGACATGCATCAGTGAGCTCAGTGTCTTCCATCACAGTGTTCCCCTTCCTGTGTGTCGCCTGCAGGTCTCTGGTTCCATGTGCTGCATAGCCAATTACCCATGTCAATAAAAAAGCTGGCTGCAAGTGATTAACACAAATGATAAGCACCTACTGGATTAAGAAGCTGAAACATGGATGCACATGGAAAGACAAATGTTACATATATAGTAAAATCATTTCCGTATTGTATCTGTATTTTGTACTTTTCTTTATAAAAAACACCACATTTTTGCCCTCACCTTTATCATCTTAAGTGACAGAATGCCAGAGCAACAGTAAACTGGGGAACTGGTTTAATGGAGTTTTTTTCTTCTTTACTCAGCATACAGTGAGAGTCATAACAGGAGGCTCTGCACAGGCAAACACAGCATGGCATATCCTCACAGCAAGTGTTTGTGCATGTGGTGGTGGTGGTGGTGGGGGGCAGTTAACTGAATTGTGCGATCTAGATGGTATTGTTCTTCGCAGGGAAGGACTCGGAGGATGTTTTAATGACGGAGCTTGGGGAATGCAGTGGCTGTTGTAGCAGAAGGAGAAATATACTGGGTTTCTAATGTAGACACTCAATTATTGAAAAGGAGATCCGTGCACTGGTAATATGGCGAACAGTTATTTCAAAACTGTTACGAATTTTGGTCTGCAGTTAGTTTGAGGTCGAAATGGAAGAAGTCAAATGAGCAAAAAAGCTGCACAGTGTTTCATGCACTTTGTATTTTAAAATAAAAGTCCTTCACCCTGAAGACCAGAGCTCAGCTTATGTCCACTATTGCCAGCGAGATTGAAACAAGCAGCTGAGAGGCATGTTCCAACTTGATAAGTTAGATGTGACAGCCGACTCGGCTCAGCCTTGGGTAGCTTCGTGTGTATGTGCTTTTGAACAAATAATGCAATGATGTGCAAATATATTCTATTAACTTTGTTCGGCATA